CCCACCATCCCTTTCACACTGAGCCATCTGGAAGGGACTATGAGCAGCCATCATGCTAAGAACAAGATTAACATGTCAGCATCTTTTGTTGATACTTTAAACTGGTCACCCTTCAGTGGAAAACAACAATGTGAGTTGTTCTCATTGAGTGTGTGTTTGCATTATCCGCCTAGATATGGAAAAACAGAAGTGATATATATAGAACTAATAAGTTTAGTGGTGGTCAGTCTGGATGAGGACCCACAGGGGTACATACCTACTTTTTTAAATTCCCCTTTCAGCACACTTCCTGATATCCAACCTAAACCTTCCATAGCACAGATTCAGGCCATGCCCTCTTGTCCTGTCACTAGTTGTCTGGGAGGAGATCCTGACCCTACCTCCCTTCAGGTAGTTGTAGAGAGTGATAAAGTTCCCTCTCAGTCTTCTCCAGGCTAAACAACCTCATCTCCCTCAGCCTATCCCTGTAAGACTTTCCCTCTATTTCTTCACCAGCCTCGTTGCTCTCCTCTGGACCTGCTCCAGCACCTCAGTATCCTTCTTGAAGTGAGGGGCTCAGAACTGGACATAGTACTCAAGGTGAGGCCTCACCAGGGGCTGTGTACAGGGGGAGAATCACATCCCTGCTCCTGCTGGCCACACTATTCCTGATACAAGCCAGGATGCCACTGGCCTTCTAGGCCACCTGGGCACACTGCTGGCTAATGTTCAACCAGCTGTCAACCAGTACTCCCAGGTCCCTCTCTGCTGGGCTGGTCTCCAGCCAGTGTTCCCTCAGCCTGTAGTGCTGCATGGGGTTATTGTGGTGCTTTGGAAAATGGGCACCCAAAATCAGGTGCTCTTCAGAGATGAAAATTTAGCATCTTGAAGTGTTAGGATATCAGGTATGGGAACTGTCTGCAAGCATTTGAAATGTTGAAATGCCCTGGGCGTAGAGACAGTGTGATGAGAGGGTAGTGTAACTTGATTGCGGGCCTAGAGGTGAGGAAATCAACAGCATTTATCTGGTTTTGATGAGGTGAAATTCAGTTCTATACTCAGACCTCTACATTTAGGTGGGTGCATAGCAGAGCTTACACATGGTATTTGAGCTCAATATAATTCTTGTATCTATCTGTCAGTAATTGCAGTGATGTAATTACTGTTGAGGCTTCTGCTGAGCTCTCAAGAAGGATATGGACACTGAGCTGTTGCATTGAGTTTTTGCCAGTTACTCAAATTCTAGAAAACAGCTTGTCTCTTATAATAGCCGTGCTCTGCTGTTCTTTGGAAAGATTGTACATGGTGTTTGTCATCTTTCATGTTTGTTAGCGTACATCTGCTTTCTGCTTGGGTTTTTAAAAAGCAAATTTTCCAAAGCTATGTCAAACTTCTTGCATGCAGTTTAACAGCTGTTGTCCAGAGGAGGTGGTCTGAGCTGACCTGGGGCAATACTCCCACAACTGCAGGGGAAGCATGGAAAAAAAAAAAGAAAAAATGCTTTGATTTTCTTGTTTTGTACCCTGCTTGCCTCTACAGCAATAACTGCAGGGATAAGTGCCTTGTGATTTTAAAACAAAAGGCAGTTATGCAAGTTGTTATAGGGGGAAAATAAAATAAGAAAAACAGAGGTGACAATACTGAGAGAGCACGCCTAATGTAAATTTTTAATGGAGTGATCTAAGCTAATTCAAGCTTCTGTCCTTTCAGAATGTGCATGGGAATCTAGTTAGGTTGGCTGTGCAGTTGCTGGTGCCTGTAGGGTCTGGAGAGCTGTGTCCATTTGTGCTCCAGTCAGAGTTCAGTCCAGCCAAATGTGTCTGATCCATGTCCAATGAGGCACACATGGATTTCTTTCTCTTGTTTTTTCTTGCATGCTTGACTCCTGCACCCAGTTTTCTGGTCTGATGCTACAGCAAATTATATATATATGTGGTGCAGCATCCTTCTAGGTCTTTTAGCTCTTGTGCCAGATGCAGTGGATGGTTTCATGGCACTGGTGGCTCCGCACACGGAGCAGAGTTGGACCTGTGTATCTTAGCTGTAAGTCTATGTCTGTATTGCATATTTAGGCAGGGTAAAATATGTAAGAAAATGAACAACTGTTATTGGTCCCAGTCTTCTGAACTGGTACAATTTCTGAAAATAATAACAACCTATTTGCCTCACATTTTCCATTTATTTGGGGATGGAAGGGAAGAGAAGTTATTTAACCTCTGTGTTGTAAAATAGAGTATGATTTACCAAAAGTCAGTGTGTTTAATACAGTGACAGACTATCACAATTAACATCTTGACTAGTAAGAAACTGGGATTGAAGGGTGACTTGAAACACATGAAAGGCAGTGGAACTGCCATTGCCAGCTCTTTTTTTTCTGCACCTGGTAACATACTGCCCCCCAGTCTGGTTGAGCGTAATGAAGTCCCTCTAATTCAGAGGCTGATTTTGTCTTGATTTCTTGTTTAACTTCTTGTTATGTATATTTTGAAGAAAAAAATAAGTTTGCCCTCACTTCTAATGAATTTTCTTTAAAAGAAAAAGAGTGGTTGGACAGCAGAAAAGGCTACCCAGACAGGTGGTGGAGTCACCATCCCTGGAAGTGTTAAAAAGAAATATAGTGCTTAGCACTGAATGGGGTAAATTAGGTTATGGTAGGGGGATTTAGGTTATGGTTGGACTTTATGATCTTCGAGATCCCTTCCAACCAGGATGATTCTATGATGCTATGAAATGAGAATAAATTTCTAATTGCAATTGCAGGCCTTTCCCCCTGATCAGGAACAGTTAATGCATTGTTTAATCTGCTGCATATATTTACTCATCAATGTTCAGTTTATCTCTTGGAATTAAACTTCACACTGGCATGAGGTGGATATTTAATAATTTAAGTCATTCATTAAAAAATGTAAGTTGTTCTTTCCCCCACCCACAGCACTGCTTTGTGTTTTAGCCTGCTCCTTCAAGAAAAGGGATGTCTCGGGTGGGTCAATCTTTTCCCCGCCAGCTCTTGAATGCGTTGTACCATTGCATAAAGAATTTATGAGAAAATTTAAAAAATCAAACTGCAGTTGTATGTTTTCTTCAAATTAGTTTTTATAGGCAAAGAAGAACGTGGTGTTTAGAAGGGTCTTAAATTAGTGCTCCTGGTGAAAGGTATGTTGATTATACTCAGAGTGGTAGGTGTTTCAAGAAGTAGCAGGCAATTAGAGGGGGCCAGCTCTAAGAATGTTAGAAAGCCATGGGAAAACATGCTTTATTCTGCTGGTCTTCTGGCCTTCTCATAGAAGAATTTAAGTAAGGTGTAGCAAAATGTATTTCCAGTAATTCTCTTTTAAAAGCAAACAAATAAAGACCCACAAACCCCAAATCCTGTAGAGTGGATGTCTTGTTCACCAGAGTGTTTTACTGATGAATTGCACATAAAAATTAGTTCCAAGGAAAGAGACATTTTTGAGATGCCATCCATAGAGATCTTGACAGGCTGGAGAGGTGGGCCAATGCCAGCCTCATGAAGTTCAACAAGACCAAGTGCAGGGTCCTGCACCTGGGTTGGTATTGTTTAAAATTTAGCAAACTCAACTGTCATTAAATTCTGACTTTCTCTAATAAACTGTCTTGTATTAAAAAAGACATAAAATATAATTCAAGACTACTGCTTAGAAGTCATAAGCTTATTTCTTTTTGGCCTGTTCTGAAATCACCGTACAGTTGAATACTTTGCTTCTTGCTAATTACTTAAAAGTTGTTAATTTTTAAAAAATGTTCTTGAGAAGAAAGCGTTTTAAACCTTGGAGGGGGAAAAAGTAATTACAAAAATTACTATGCAGTGTTTGAAAAGCAAAAAGGTCTTTTTAATTTACTAATGTAATTTTAATTAGAGAAATTGAAAGGTTTCCATAATTGCTTTAGTGTAATAAAAATACAAATTTTCCTTTAAGTCTTTTCTAAATGAACTTATGCCCTTGATAACTGTAACTTCTCATTCCAGAAATTTTTGGTGCTGCATGGTTCTTAGGCAGAATATTATTAATAAGTAATAAGTGCATGGACATGGAATTGTCAGAGTTCAAAAAAGTTAATCAGATTGACTCATTGTATTAATGGCATTTTAGAGAAAACTGCTTAAGAAGTTTTTATAGTATATGCTATCATTTTGCTTTTGGGAGAATTCTGTCCCACTTGGACATCCTTGCCCTCAAAGCTGCTCCCTGGAGATAGTTTTTTCTGTGCCATTGTGCCCTTCTGTGATGCTTTGAGGTCTCTTTTTGTATGTGTTTTCCCCATCCTAGTTTCTTCTATTTTTCGAAAAATCCCAGCTCTGACTGTCTTTGTTTTCTAAGATAAATGTCTTCCTACATCTGGCAAACTGCCCAAATTTAGTCAATTTATGCTCTTGACATAACTCATATTGTCACTCAGCACCACCTGTGGAAAACTATCTTCTTCCTTGCTTTGCAGCTTCTTCATTATTTGCACCCAGCCTATTTCTTTGAGACCTTTGCCCTTATCTGTCAGATGAGTTTATCATTCCAGCTGAAAACCTGTCCAAGCAAGGGTAGGTCAGTGTCTGACGTAGTCAGGGGGCTGTATTGCATAGGGAGCCTGTTGGTGACCAGCTTGCCAAGGCAGCAAGCCAGCTTGCTCCAGACAGTGATTTTCCTGCCACTCCAGTGGGTACTGCCAGTTTTTTATACATGCTAATGTGCACTAAAATCCAGTGATTCTGGTACTGAAGCACAGGTCTGTGTAGACAGTAAATATTATACTTTTTGCCTGGATTTGATGTACATTATCTACATGGACTGCATTCTCTGTGCTTATCTGCAGTGCTGTGGTTGTGTTCTGGTTGAGTGCAGGACTTCAGTGCCCTGGTATGTCTTATGGTAGGAAGACTGAAGTAAGTGCTTTAAAAGAGGGAAGGTGAAGTGTATTTTGTAGAAAAAATGCATGCGTGCTGCTCAGATCTGTAGCTTTTATTTTCATTGTTGTAAATATAATACATATTTTTCTCTGCATTCCAGGTTGTGAGCCATGCCTTTGGTGAAAAGGAACATTGAACCGCGGCATCTCTGCCGAGGAGCCCTGCCAGAGGGAATTACCAGTGAGCTGGAATGTGTAACGAATAGTACCCTTGCTGCTATCATACGCCAGCTAAGCAGCTTGAGTAAGTAGCTGTAACTTCCTGCAAGTGTGTGATTCCTGATGAAAACTGAATAAATGAAAAGCTTTCAGGTGGCTTGTTTTAAATAACAAAATTACGATACAGGACATTGCCATGTATGTAATATAATAATATAGTGGTGCTTCACTGCTTTTATGCTCTTCTGTATTTTAAAATTTATACAAGCAGAGGCTCTCTAAGATTTACAAGTGTATAAAAAATGAACCAACCAAAAACTTAGGCATAGACAACTAGGAATTTTTTTAATGTGAGAGAAATGGGTGTAAGAATTTGATTTATTCCTGGCTTGAAATTACAATTTTGACTGAATGAGAAAAGAGATTTCATCAGAGTTTTCAACAGTCAGCAGCCATTGTTTGTGCTGGTAACTCTGGTCCTAGAAAATAAGTTATTGCTTCATCAGTTTCTTCACTTTTAAATGGAAATGGTTTAAGAATGTAAGGAAGTCTGTATGGAGTTTAGATTCCATGCCCCACTTAGTCTGGTATCCAGTTTGACAGAATCACAGAATTTTTAGAATTGGAAGGGACCTTAAAGATCATTGTGTTCCAACTCCCCTGCATGGCCAGGGACACCTTCCAGTAGAACAGGCTGCTCAGAGCCCCATCCAACCTGGCCTTGAACACCTCCAGGATTGGAGCCCCCACAACATCTCTGGGCAGCCTGTTCCAGTGTCTCACACTGAAGAATTTGTCATGATAGGAAATAGCCTATGATCAGGTAAAGAGAACAAGAAACACAGCATGTTCCCTTTCTAGTAGTCAGTGATTTAGGGATTTTCTGAGCTGCTATTTAATGAGCAATTGTAAACATACAGTCTGTGGAATTGCTTACATGTGTTCAAATAGGGATTGCACTTTTTTGTTCATCAATGACCTGTGGCAGAATGTCCCACAGGATAAGTTGACAGAAGTCCTGTTGGTACTTTCTGGTTCATAAGTTATGAAAAATAATGAAAGGTTATTTCAACTTACGTATTTCCATAATAATTTGTGATTTTATTAAATCTTCATTGTTTTCTACTAGTGATATCTTTTCCACATTGGAGTGTCCTGATCTGTTAGCACTGTTTGGATGGAAACCATTTTGTATTTCTGATCATTGTTATTTCTGCTTTGGATTTGTAAGTTAGAGTATGTTGGAGTCTTTTTAAGGTGGAGTGTTGAGGACTTCAGATCATAATAAAACCAGACTTCTTCTGTTTTATCATTAGTTCCCTAATAATTTATAAAATTTTGATTGCTGTTAAACATTGAGTTGATATTTTCTGAGAAGTTTCCAAATGATTATCTGATCTTTCATGAGTAGTAGCTGCTGATTTAGCAGGTAATGTTATTTACAGTTAATTTGTGTTTGTATTGTCATTGAGTTTAATTTACCATTTTATCAGGCAGTTGCTCAGTTTTGGCATCCTTAATTTTCAGAAAATTGGGAAGAATGGTTAATGCATCCTAATTACATTCCAGGATCTCTGATAAGACCTCATTTTGGTATTGTACCATGATTGCCAAAATGTGGGTAATACACTTTTCACTCATCTGACTTCTTAGGAATGTCTATTACTTGTTTCTCCAGATTTGGTCTTGGTGCTAATCTCCCTGTTACACTGTGTAATCAGATTATCTTACAATTGTTGCTGAGGAACTGGCTACTTACACAATCCCTATCCTGCAGTTTTTCCTTAGTGGATTTTTCAGGTCATCAGAAGTCTCTGTAGACAGCCCTAAAGTACTTTATTGATGCCAAGTTAAAGATCTATGCAAAGAGATGATGTATCCTTTGTTTTAACAGATGGATTCATGGTATTTAATGAGGGAAGTCCACCACCAGGCTTGTCCACAGTCTACAATCTGTCATGTTTGCAGAGGGTTTTTTTCTGTAGACAGCATTTATTTTTCCCATGTTTCAGGCCAACTGTAAGCAAGGAAATTACCATAGAAAATTCTTTGCTGGAACTAATATTGTATGTCCTGCTGACAGCATCAGAGCTTGTTGATGTTCCCACAGCTTGAAGTATAGAGAGAGCAAGTACAGGTCTATCTTGCAGTCACAATGATTTTTAATGTTGCTCTGAGAGTTCAGTGTGGATTTTAAAAGCTGGCAAGTCTGTGCTGTTGTGTACAAATTTGGCTTGCTTGTGCCTCTGCTCTTTTCAGGAGACATGAACAAGTTCGTTTCCAAAGGGAATGTGCTCTCAGTGGAGCTTTTTTTCTATTATGTCTTCAGTTTTGGGTTTGTTTGCAGCCAGCTGGCTTGGAGCACAGGAAGAGTGAGCAGCATTCTCTGTGAAACTGTGCATTTTTGTATAAGGCAAAAGCCTGACTAGCAGATTCACGTTCACTTGGAAGGAAAGAATCTACAGGGTGCAGGGCTGGTAGCATTTGCAGCCTATACCTGGAAGTACCGTGATGCTTCAACTAGTAAACACAGTCATGGAGCAAAGGCTTTGAAGAAAACTTGTATTAAAACACTCCCTTAGTTTTGGCAGTGAAGTTTGGTCTGATGGCTGCAGAATCTCTAGCCAGTGAAAAAAGGTGCTCTCTGCAACAAGATCTGTTGTACCATGAGTTCCTAAGTTTTGCTCATGTGTGTGTATGGGGAAGAAGTAATATATCTGATTGTCACTGAAGACTAAATATCAAACCTGTGTAGGTACTTCACTATTGAGCTGTTCTTAATTAGGTTCAGTCTGTACAATAATACTGTTTCAAGCTGTAATACCACTTCTTTCCTGTCTGTGATTCTTTAAGTATTTTGTACTTTTATATCTTGGCTTCTCCATTCATTCAGATAGTGTCAGACTCAAATGTTATTTCCAGATGGGTATGAACCATCTGTACATAGGTAGAGAACTTTCTTTGAACCATATGCAAGTGATACCAGAAGGTTTTTGCTCCATAAAATGGAGGAACTGTGATCTGTAGAGAGTTGGAAGACTTTTTTTTCCAGGCAGAGAGCAATGTCACTGATTCACCTCCTAGTATTTTCTTGGGTAGATTGACCATTGTCTCGGAGTTCCTCTAGTTTGCACACAGGCCTGAGCATGCTGCATTCAGATTTGTGTGACTCTCCTCTTTACCACTACTAAATTGGGCAGAGTTGCTAAGTTAGCTCTTTTGGCGTTGGGTATCACACTGGAGATACTGTAAGGAGGCAGGTAAGAATCAAGAACCAGCCAGGAACAGCTTTCCTCTTTTTTTTTTTTTTTTTTTTTTTAAGGGGTGGGGAGAAGTGCATTATTCTAATGCTAATTAATCCAGTTTCAGATGGGGGAGGTGGAATAATTGTTTTCTGCTCCATGTTGTGATAAAATGGTCATGTCCTGGGTGAATTCCAATTTACAAAACACCAGCTAGTTCTGTGGGATCTTTCAGTCCATATCTAGAATCCTAAGGACAGAACTGGTGCAGAGCTGGTCCCTTTGGGGCAACCCTAGTGTCACCTTTCCTTTAGTGTTTTTTAGAACTGTCACCTGAATGCCAGGTGATGTCATTATTTACCTTTTCTCTTTGATAATAAATAAATGTTCACCATGTGAAAAATTGTGGCCCCTTCAATGCACTGTAAATGTTACTGTTAACTTGAATGTATTTTTCCATGCATTTGTGCTGTGGAGCCAGGAATGGAAAGGAAAGCTAAACTTCTTAGGCTAAAATATGCAAAAGGAAAGTAGACTAAGTAATAAACACTGTTTGGTTTCTGGTCTTTAGACAAACCAGCATCATGGTTGGGTTCCTCTTCTGTTACAGCACTGAGTGCTTTGCTGACAAAAGATGCCTTTGGGACAACCTATTCAATGTGTTAATGCACACCTTTTTGTGCAGTATGTGGAAATCAGTTGTAGTAAATTCAGGTGGTGTCTAGTCTCTGCTAGCAGCGTTACAAGCTGATGTGGCAAGATGGCATTTCATGTAATTACTGTGGAACTTGGGAAGAGGTATTATGATTTCAATTATTTGTGAACTACACAAATCTCTAGAAATGTCTCACGGTGCTTGGAAATGTATTTTGTGATCAATCAAATAAACAGCTCTGTGAAGATGGCCTGTGGAAATGCTAGAAAGAGGCATTTCTCTTAATTAATATTAAAACCTGCAGAGAGCAGGGATTTGATGAGGCAGCATCATGACTAAATTTCCTCTCAACTACTTCAGTGGTTGGATAGAGCCTTAGAAGGAAAGACTGCATAATTCCTTTGGTGTTTTTCTTTTTTAATTGAATATTCAGGTTGCCTGTTAAGTTGGGAAGCACCTCATGTTTTTAAATTATTGTCTTATAGTACCAAAATCAGCTGTTAAGTTGAAAGATATGCTTGTAACTTCAGATACGGTTTGAATATTTTTTTAAATGTATTGTTAAAAATCTAATTAAAAATATGCTAATATGGAAAACCCTAGAGAAGTATTACTTTATTTCTAAAACTTAATACATCACATTAATCAGAATAGCATGTTCCAATATTGTTTTACCATGTAACTGTTTTTACTGACAGAAGATTGACAACTTGTCTTTCACTTGTTTTAGAGTAACAACTGTTTAAAAAAATAAAAATGAGAACTCAATAGTAAAAGAAGTAAATTCCCACAAATCAGCTTTATGACTTAGTTTGCTTCCTGAGAGATAACTGGTAAGCACTTGTCTGCTTGACATCTCTAGGAGTGATGTGTTTAATCACAGAATGATAGAGTCCTCTGCTCAGCATGCTGATCTCAATACATTAACAGAAACTAACATCCATTAAAATTTATTGATGTTTTGAGCTCTGAATATGGGTAGCTTGTAATACCTGCTTTATTTAGCTGAAGAATTGAAAAGTATTTTTGTTTTATAGCTTGGAATAACCTATTGGTTTGCAGTAACTAAATCACATGGAGATTATAATTGAATCTCAACTAGCTGCCAGGAAGGACTTAGAAGAACTCTTTTTACTGTGAAGGTGGTTGAGCATTAGCACAGGATTCCTGGAGAGTTTGTGAAGTTTCCATCCTTGGAATTATTCAGACCACAACTGGACAGTCCTGGGCAACCTGCTCTGGCTGACCTCTCTTTGAGTTGGACTAGGTGATTTTCAGCCTCAACTGCTCTGTGTATTGTTAAACTTCAAATGTCAACAGTTGCTGTTTTGGAAGTCACAAGCATTTACGTGGCTAATACCGTATTTTTCCAACTTCTAGACAAAGTTTCACACAGAACAGACTATCTCAATTGGAAGGGACCTCATCATCTGGTCAAACTGCCTGACCAGTTCAGGGGTGAACAAGTGAATGCATGTTGTTAAGAGCATTTTCTAAATGCCTCTTAAACACTGACAAGCTTGGGGTATCCCTGCATCCCAGGGAGAAGAACTCAGCATCTCCCTCTCCACACCCCCTCCTCAGGAAGCTGTGGAGAGCAATGTGGTCACCCTTCAGCCTCCTTTTCTCTGAAATTGGCAAACCAAAAGTCTTTAGTTGCTCCTCACAGGACATTTCTTCCAGCCCTTTCACCAGCTTTATTGCCCTCCTGGATGCATTAAAGTACATTGACATCCTTCTTAAGTGGATTGTGCACAGCACTCAAGGTGAGGCTGCACCAGCACTAGATGCAGCGGGTTAATCACCTCTTTTGACCTCCTGATGATGCTGTGTTTGCACCGTAGGATGAGGCAGGTTTTAATGAGCAATTGTGTATCTGATGGCAGTAGTTCAGCTAAGGATTAAAATCTGAATTTTTTCCTGTTTTTCAAGCAGAAAACTAAGCAGGATGTCCAGAACAGACTTCAGGCAGTGCTTATGGCATATTCTGAGAGTTTTGTACAAATCTGTTGGTTAAAATTTTGCTGAATGACTAACTGCAACCTTATAATTCTACAGCTACTGTATTTTGTTATAACTTCATGATACTGAAGCCATTTGTCTTGTGTTTTGTAAACCTTCAGCAAAGGGATTTCCCTGTCTGTTTTCTTACACAGGCAAACATGCTGAAGACATATTCGGTGAATTGTTTAATGAGGCCAACAGCTTTCACATCAGAGCAAATTCCCTTCAAGACAGAATTGATCGCCTTGCTGTCAAAGTTACCCAGCTGGATTCAACAGTAGAAGAGGGTAGGTAATTGGATGAAAGCATTGAGCCAGAAGTGATGTTGACAAGACCACAGTATTTAATTACACAGCAATCTCTCTTTTCAAAGTAATCCTGAACCGATATTTCATCTTGTTTTCTCAGTGAGGCAAGCTGGGAAAAGTCATGTTAGAGGAGCTAGAAAAAATAATCTCGAGTTGTAGAACTGTCTTCATTTTTTACTTGGTGTTTCTTCAAGAAGCTCCTGCAATAATAGTCATTAAGCTGCCTTTTTCACAGGGAAAACTTTTAGTTTGTGAATGTAATAAATCAGGAGTGATTAAATCTAGACCTTACTGGCAGTAAGTCAGGATAGTTCACAGGAAGGCCATGGACTTGTTGGACTGGGTCCAGAGATGGACACAGAAATTATCAGCAGCCTGGAACACCTCTGCTATGAACACAGACCAAGAGATTTGGGGCTCTTCAGTGGCCTTCCAGTACCTGAAGGGGCTACAGGAAAGCTGGGGAGGGGCTTTTTACAAGGGCTTGTACTGAGAGGACAAGGGTTAATGGTCTTAAACTAGAACAGGGTAGATTTAGACTAGACATTAGGAAGAGATTGACAGCCGGCTGAATATAAGCCAGCAGTGTGACAGGTGGCCAAGAAGGCCAACACTATCCTGGCCTGTATCAGGAATAGTGTGACCAGCAGGACCAGGGAGGTGATCCTGTCCCTCTACTCAGCCTTGGTGAGGCTGCACCTCAAGCACTGTGTGCAGTTTTGGGCACTGCAGTTTAGGAAGGACATTGAAGTGCTGGAGAGGGTGCAGAGAAGGGTAACTAGGCTGATTAGGGGTTTTGAGGACCAGCCCTATGAGGAGAGGCTGAAGGAGCTGGGGCTGTTCAGCCTGGAGAAGAGGAAACTGAGGGGAGACCTCATTGCTCTCTACAACTACCTGAGAGGAGTTTGTAGTGAGGCATGTGTTGGCCTTTCCTCCCTAGTGACCAGCGACAAGACAAGAGGACATGGGGTTAAGCTCTGCCAGGCGAGTTTCAGTCTGGATATTAGAAAAAACTTATTCACAGGAAGAGTGGCCAACACTATCCTGGCCTGTATCAGGAATAGTGTGACCAGCAGGACCAGGGAGGTGATCCTGTCCCTCTACTCAGCCTTGGTGAGGCTGCACCTCAAGCACTGTGTGCAGTTTTGGGCACTGCAGTTTAGGAAGGACATTGAAGTGCTGGAGAGGGTGCAGAGAAGGGTAACTAGGCTGATTAGGGGTTTTGAGGACCAGCCCTATGAGGAGAGGCTGAAGGAGCTGGGGCTGTTCAGCCTGGAGAAGAGGAAACTGAGGGGAGACCTCATTGCTCTCTACAACTACCTGAGAGGAGTTTGTAGTGAGGCATGTGTTGGCCTTTCCTCCCTAGTGACCAGCGACAAGACAAGAGGACATGGGGTTAAGCTCTGCCAGGCGAGTTTCAGTCTGGATATTAGAAAAAACTTATTCACAGGAAGAGTGGTGAGGCATTAGAACAGGCTGCCCAGGGCGGTAGTGGAGGCACCATCTCTGAGATGTTAAAAAAAGGGGTAGACATAGTGTTTCATAAGACTGTTTAGTGGTTAGGGGTTGTAGGGTGGATGTTTGGACTTGATGATCTTGAAGGTCTTTTCCAAACTTGACGATTTTATGATTCTATGCTATGAGGGTCATGAGACACTGGAACAGGTTGCCCAGAGAGGTTGTGGAGGCCCTATTCCTGGAGACATTCAAGGTCAGGCTTGATAGGGCTCTGAGCATAAAGAGGGGTTGGACTATATGACCTTTAAGGGTCCCTTCCAACCCAGCCTATTCTATGATTCTACTGGAAAGTTTTAATCAGTAGATCTATTTATTTATTTCAGGGTAAGGTGGTCACAAACTATCTTAGTGTGTCTGTTCTGCAGTCACCTGAGATCTTACAGTACTTTCTAGCTAAATGAGGCACTACATGTTAGCATCAACTAGGTAAATTCCCTAGGGGTTTCTGGTCACTAGAAACAGTATTTACTTTAAAGTGCTGTTACATCCTCTCTTACTTACATGTTTGATCATTCACTTAATAAATACACATCAGAGCAAAGGTTTTAAGTAACATAAGGGCATTGTTCGAAAACACTTATTTGGGTAAGTGGAATATGGTACTTTGTCTAGCTCCTAAAGCTGTAACTGGCATGTTTGCTTAGCTGTGCAGTTACATGTTTTGAGTCAGCCACTGCATGTAGTCGCTGTTTCGATGATTCCTTCTGTCTTCCGGAAAATAAAATTCCTGACAATTAGTAAAATGTAAAAGCTTGTTACATCAGGACAGTAGTGTAGTATTTACTTACTAATAGTTACTGCTACTTGGGATATATTTAATAGTGCTATTAATATGGTCTGTATAATATATTTTATATTATTTTTGTATAATTTATATAGTAATGCTAATATTAATGTAAATATGAAATGCTACTGTTAATATTCAATAGTGTACTAGTTAGCCTTTCACTTTTAGGTTGCTACTGTCTGAAAATTATTATATGTGTGGTTTTTGTTGTTTTTTTTTTGGTTTTGGACCATGTTGACTTGTAGAGTATCACAGTTGATACTAGCACCTTTCTTTTGCTGTCTTAGAGGTCCTTAGAGGTCACCTTACATGTGACCAAGCCATTATGGTGTCACTCTTCAGCTTAGTTTTTGAGGCATGTTGTGGTGGTAGTAAGAACAAATTAGATGATACTCATTCACTGTACTTGTTCTGTGCTGAGGTGGATTATGTCAATCTTGATGGCTTTCAAGTCCAACATGTTTGGAAATGCAGTCCTCATCAGAAGTTGTGTCTGCCTTTGTTTCTTATTTAATGTCTCATTTGCATTATGCAGTACCTCCTGGCCAGTTTCCAGAGTTTGCAGAGTAATTAAAACCAGCCTCTTGGAAGGAGAAACTAGTGTATGGACTGAAAATGTGATAGTTTTTTAATTTTAATTTAATACGAGTTATTACTCCTGCCTTTCTAATTTTTGTTCATATTAATAAGCTATATATATAAACTGCTGTCACTTTAGTGTCAGTAGGATATTTTATTAGCTATTCAGTTGCAGAAGTAAAAACCTTTATAATTGATTGTACCTTCTCAAATTCTAAATGTATTTCTGAGTAGCTTAGGCATTTAAGTAAAATATAAATTAGATGATCTTTAGATTTAATTGCATCAGTGATTGCTTACATTTGTAGGTATAACAAATACATAGTGTATATCTAAAATATTTTTATATATAAAACTACAGTTGAAAAGACATTTTAAGATAGTTAAAGTTAAGTTTTCAAAAGCATGTAAATAACTTACACTCAAAAGCCCCATAAAAATAGGATTTGTGCTCTTTTGAATGTCTTTTCAAACAAGAGTCTAACAATTCAGATAAATACATCTGAAAAAGCTGCCTGAATCACCTTACTGGTTTACTTGTAGGCAGCTTTAAATAGAAAGTAGTTTCTCAAAAATTTTATTTTAATACTTCAGATGACCTAAGTGGAGGAAGAGGTTGATTTGGAATGAAATAATCTATTTATGATTTTTTTTCTATTTTAAAAGCTACTGGAGAATCTAAGTTATCTTGGAGTAGGAAGCAAGACTTAGCCACAGATAACAAAAATAGCTGGGTAGAGAAATCTGAGTGAGATGTGGTTTCCATCATGATAAAGGATAACAAGGTATCTTACAGGGGCTGTATCAAACTTCATGCCTTTCTGATTTTGCAGGTCATCAATATATTAAAGTTTTGCTTGTTGCTATTCAGTTACTCTGTGAAATTCTCAGTTTGTTCTTGAGACTCATAGACTAGATGAATGGACAAGAAATATTAGGTGAAATGTTAAGGGGAATAAAAAGAAAACAAGGCAATTCATTTTCTTTGCACTATTCATGCATCTTACACTGTTGTAAAGCAGCTGGATCAGTTCAAGAAATGGTGAGTGACACTGGAGACAAGCCAGTGAAGACTTAAGAGATCTGTTCAACTGTAGTCAAAACCTGTATTTCATGTTGCCCAAGAAAAAGATCATGTGGAGAGTTTACTGCCACACTTCAATTGTAGTTGGTATTATCTGGATCTGTTAGCAAGGCTCACTCCATCTCAGGAAAATCTATATTAAGAATGAAAGAAAATCTTGTGAGAAGTGACAGGAACAATTAAAAGCAACTTAAATCTTTCATTTGAAAAGGAAGAATGGAGCAGCTAGGAATTTGGTTTCCCTGCAGAACTGTGCCCATGAAAAGATAAAATGGAAGGATGTTACTGGGCTGTATAAAGACAGTAAGTATTCCTCTGTAGAGAGATGAGAAAAGCTGAAGATCAAGGGCTGTTCAATTACATGGAAAGATTTTGGAGCTGAAAGATGGTAAAAAATGTAGAACTCTCTCACAGGAGGCTGTGAGGCCTTAGTTTAAACTTAGAATGCAGTTGAAAGTGTATAGACACCACATGTAATTACAAAACATGCTGTGTCAGAGGAATACCAGGCCTTGCATTTCAGGCTTGGAGCCAATTTTTCTGCTATTAGACGTTCAGGTTAAACCTCATAATAAGGGGAGATCATTGGACATCTGCATGTGACAGGAGTCTTGCTTCAATCTTCTAAGAAACAGCCCATGGTCCCGTTATTATAGTGAGATTCTGTACCAAGTGGGACTTTAATCTGATTTACTATGATATTTTTTATGTGCTTTTGTGCTTAAATACTATGATTATCCACTAAAGAAAGATCTTTCAGGTTTTTTTCTATATTTTGCTGAAAATACTTTAAATAGCTAATTTAAAATGGAATTTGTTTATCCACTTTGTATGATACTTGCAGACCTCTGATAAATGTTTTTTTTGTTTCTAACAGTATCATTACAGGATATCAACATGAAAAAAGCATTCAAGAGCTCAACAATTCAAGATCAGCAGGTAGTTTCAAAGAACAGCATTCCTAACCCAGTGGCTGATATTTATAACCAGAGTGATAAACCACCACCTCTGAATATTCTTTCACAATATAGGTATGGAAATATTGTTTACATTCTTATAACCTTAGCCCTTCATTTCTTAGTTGTATGCAGAGGACAATTACAGCAGAAAATTACAGGGAAAAGCTGCATTGGTTATTGAGGTTTGTTGTTTTGAGGACTTCCCTGTTCAAGGAAAAAAAAATTCCTGTTACCACGCTTAAAATTGTAAGTTGTACCAGATAAAAAACATTGTATTTCAGCATCTGTTACATGGCAGCACAGGATCAGAGAGCAAGGGCCATTGAATGTAAAGAATCAAAAGAAATTTAGTAATATACTAAGCTTCTTTGGTTCATTTATCCAGAAAGCTGGATTTGTTACTTTTCCCTTCTCTCTCTCTATTCTCCTATTTCCCCTGAACATAGACGTGTGCACACACAGTCTTTACCTCTTCTTTTTCTGGTTACTTCCTTGTAAATAAAAAAGCAGCAAGCAGGACTTAATTTCCTGTTTCTTTTCCTGTTTCCTTTAAGTTTATTGTTGTTAATGAAATGAATATAATTTGTCTCTCTGAAGAGTTGTGGACAACATACTTTCACTGTGTCCTTCAACTGTTGAGAGGTACTAGATGGGTTGTCTATGTAAAGCAGACACTCCAAAGGCAGTAAATTATTTTAGGGCTTTTTTTTTAGGGATGACATAGTATTTGCAGTATGTTTTATTTTTGAGAGCTTTCACATGGAAGGTAAAATTATTAGATTTCGAGCTGGTTTATTTTGCCACTGCTGCAGACAATGCTGGTGTTTGATTGTTTATAAGAATCCTGCTAGTAAGAGTTGTTATCAATCAGCTGTTCTGCACAGCTATATCTTATTGGATATCTGGATGACAGTGTCAGTGACCTGTATTGTTACTCCTGTTTTATTAGAGATACTTTAGCGCAATGTACTTAAACTATGTTTCTTGATAAGTCTTACGATTGCTGAATTTAAATTATTTGTATTTGCCTTGGCCGAAGCTTAAACAAACTTCACATTGTAGTCTGACCAAAGATGGAGGGGTGGAGGAGTAGCCTCAGTAGCCCCTTCAGTAGGTTATGTTTCTAGTCAGGAGGTCTGGCACACAAGAAGGAGTTTATGGCTTGATGACTAGCCAGTATGCAGGATCTGCCCTCTGTACCCTGCTGCAGCAGTTGTAAGGTTTCTGTGTGCTGATTCTCCACCCCACTTGATCTTGCTGGTAGAAATTAGTGTTCAGCTGCTATCAAAATGTACCCAGGAAGAAATTAGGACCTACAAAGCCTACGGGACTCTGAAGGACACCAGTTTATCAAGGTAGACTGGGATCACTGTCATATGCCAGCCACTCTGCCATGTTGATTCCCCTCTACACCCCATTAGTTTTCTAGAGTTTAGGATATTAGAAGATTCTCCATTTCCAGGTCATGGAGTCAAATTAGGATTTTGTAGCATACATTTTTTTGTGGTGTATTAGTCTGGGTGACCCTGGCTTCTCCCATCAGTTGAAGCTGGCAAGCCCAGCTCTGTGTTGGATCCTCCTAAAACAGCCTGGAACCTTTCCGTTGCCACCCTTGTCCTCATCCTTCTCCTAGTTAGGGGGGTCCCACTGAGAGTAGTGACTGTCTTGTGCTTCCTGTCACAAGGGCAAAAGTACTCAGACCTACCCTGTTCCTAAATTCAGATATTAAGACCTTTTCCAGTTCTTTTGAGGCAGTTGAGTTCCATTTTTACACTCCTCTGTCCCCCACACATCCTGTCATGGCACTGATCTTGGTGCAGCACCAGTGATTTTTCCCTCCGCTGAGCTCTGATGAAGCATAGCCTGGGAAGATGCCTTCCACAAAACTGTAGATTCTACCCCTTTTCCCCTGAAATTCTTGGCATGAATCAAGTCAATTGTGAGCTGTTACTATCAAGACTGGCATTTAATGCACTTGACATGCTGTCATCCTATAATGCAGAAAAGATGAAGCTTGGATAATCATCAAAGGTGAGTTTTGTTGCTTTAAAAAAATACTAATTAATATTTTCTTAGCTTTTTTCCTACTGTATTTCCAGGGATGATAAGAAAGATGGATTGAAGTTCTATACTGATCCTTCCTATTTTTTCGATCTTTGGAAAGAAAAAATGTTACAAGATACTGAAGATAAGCGAAAAGAAAAGAGAAGACAAAAGGTAAAAGCAGAAGCATAATAACAAACGTATGTACTACAATTTCGTGTGTGATTGTCCAGGCATAAAAATTGCTAGGTCATAGTTTTTGTGCATGGAAATACTGCTCCTCTTTATACATGGCTGTAGATTCAGCTGGTTTGTTTTTTATAGCTCATACTATTTTAAGAAGTTGGTAAATTGAGTTTTAGGAGTACTGTAGCTATCCTCTGGGATACTTGCTTTAATCCTTTGCCAATATCTGCTTATTGGTACTTCAGAAAATGACACTGTGAGTTTTTGGAGGGTGGGGTTGCAGGAAGGAGTTTGAATTATGGTTTCCCTTATTTTCATAGTTTTTTTTATGCAGCTTCAACTACTGTAGCAAAACATGAGCTTACCCAGAAGTAAATATTTTCTTCAGTTTTTTAATTCCTTGCTAGTAACTCTTCACTTTTCTAACACCTGTTACAAGTTAACAACATGATAATACACAACAAAATTATCCTGTAATTAAGCAACAAGAGAAGATTAGTTTTAGGAGTAATATGCTTTGTTTCCTCTAAGTTTAAAACAAACAAACAAGGCTTTTTCGTAGAAAAGTCTCTTCTGTCATTCTGGAGTATCTTCAGCAGTTTGATCCAAAAATGTGTATTCTGATGCAATCAGGATTTTCTTAATGAATTTTAGTTTTGAATGAAGACATTAGTTTTAATTCTGCTGCTTCCTTGCTGTTGATTTTTTTAATCAAATCTGAAGGCTGCAAGATTTTTGAAGATAATCCTGTGAAGAGGGAAAGTTTGAGTGCATGACTGCTGTTTCTTAGCTGGCAGAAGGTGCCTTTTCAGATAGGTTCAGTGAGAGAGAAGGGATTGAAAATGAAAGGAATTCAAACAAGGTGCACAGACTACTCAGAGGAAACAGAAGGAGCGTTGTAGTTTTAAGTACATGCACACGCATATATACGCATACACATGTATGTGTATGTATGCATATATATCATATATATTAGCAGACCTATACATGTGTGTATATAAGCAGGTATCATATATCAGCATATATATGCATGTATTATACACAGGTATATACATAATGCTTAACATGTGACTATACATGCTAATGTATATTTGTGTATATACATCATGTGTCTAATACATGTGTACATCTATACTAATATATATGGTACCTGCTTAGAAATCAAATTGTAGGGCATGACTGGGAAGCTTAACTCTTCTGCTTTTGTAAAATTCTGTCAATTCCTTGTTCCTGTTGCTTGACAAAGCTTTCTGACTACAACATTTTTAGGTAAATGTAACTGAAATATTTTGTGAATTCATGAGTATAAAAGTTCTGGAAGAAATACGTCAATACATCTTTTTAGGAGTATGAATCAAATGTTTTCTATTTTGACAGGTATCTTGGTAGTGAAATACTAATTGGAGTTTAAAAAGCTGAGTAGACTTATTCAGTAGAAGTTACTGTCTAAAGCAAAGAATTGGAAAATATTCACTTGGTTATTTGTATAATTGCATACAAATGTATATGCAAGGTTATAATCCCACTATATTCTCAGTATGATGAGGTACAGAGCTGACTAAAAAACTGGAAATAATTTAAAGCAGCTTTTGTTTCTCTAGTTTAGTTGTTTTTTCTTAAATTTCATTTGCTATTTCTTTATGAAATACATATATAGGGATAATTACACCCTTTGAGATTTTTTCCTCCTACCTTTTTCTCTTCAAATTTAGATGTTATCACAAGAGAGAGATAAAAAGAAACTAGCAACTGCTAAATGTTTTATTTTTATTTAATATTAAAAAGGAAAAAATACAGAAGCTTTTAAAATAAAAAACTGTAACAAAATATTTTTTGAAATCTTTTGATAGATTTATGGAGATTATTACAAAATTATATATAAATTTGATTTTAGACTATATTTCATAGAATCATAGAATGATTTGGGTTGGAAGGGACCTTAAATATCATCTAGCTCCAACCCCCCTGCATGGGCAGGGACACCTACCACTAGATCAGGGTGCTCAAAGCCCCATACAACCTGTCCTTGAACACTTCCAGTGATGGAGTGTCTCACCACCTGCACAATGAAGAATTCCCTCCTAATGTCTAAGCTAAATCTCCCCTCTTCTGGTTTTGGTCCATTTCCCCTTGTCCTCTCACCACAAGCCCTTGCAAAAGGTCCCTCCCCAGCTTTCCTGTAGCCCCTTCCTGTACTGAAAGGTCACAATAAGATCTCCCCAGAGCCTTCTCTTCTCCAGGCTGAACAGCCCAAATTCTCTCAGCCTGTCTTTGTAGGAAAGGTGCTCCAGCCCTTGGATCATCTTTGTGGCCCTTCTCTGGACTTTCTCCAGGAATTCCATGTCCTTCCTGTGTTGGGGGCTCCAGAATTTGACACAATTTTGGACAAATTATTTTAGGCAACACATCTCACTTATTTCCATCCATGCTGTATTTTTTGTAGATTTTAATCGTCTTACTACATTCTACAAACCAGATGTAAAATAAGCTCAATTCCAATCATTTAGGATTAGAACCCATACGTTGCAGAAATACCCCCTTATAAATTCTACGTGAAGTACTATTTGATTTGATTAAATACATAACCAAGACCAGCTAAGAAGAAAGCAGCATCAATTTGAGATTGCATGGGTAGGTGTCACTTCATGACAGAAAGAAATCTGGTTTTATCTTTCCAGAGCTAGTGTGCAAAAGAGATTTTTGTCATCTGGAACTTTTGGAGAGCTGGAGGGTTAGGGTGTCCTGGTTTGAGCCAGGATTAAGCCAATTTTCCTTTTACTGATTTTTTCCCCCCCCTTCAGTAAGCTTTCTTTTAACTAGTAGCAGAGTGTTCCAGTTAGGAATTATAACAGTGGAATGTTTTTCTAACTGCTGGGTCTTCAAAGTCACATCTTTGCTCTGCCAGCTCAGACATTATGGGGAGATCTCTGACCCCTCCGTAGGAGGCTGAGTTAGACAGACAGCAAAACTGGCCAGAGATATTCCATTCCATATATCTACGTAAGCTCAGAGGAAGGTCAGAGATCACAGAAGACAACTTCCTTCTTGCTGCTTCTTCCCATCTCTTCCATCCATGGCTGGAGTCTGGGGAGGACTCTGTTCATCCATCACCGTCGACCCCCAGGCTCGAGCTCTCCTGACCCTCAGCACTTTGTGCTTTCTCCAGCAGCTTCAGGATTTTTTGGGGCTGTTCGCAGCTCAGGAGATGCTGTGGGAGTTGCTGAGGTGGGGGAAGGCGAGAAGCTTTTGCAGATATCTGAACACATTTGTATATAATTGTATATATTTTCTTATATCATCAGTGTTTGATTAAAACTTTGTAGTTTAGTTTTCAATCCAGCCAAGTCTCCCTCTTTTTCTCTCTCTCCTTCCCTACCTGGGTTGGAGGGGGAGGGGATCGAGAGCATTGCTGTTGGACCTGAGTTAAATGGTGAAAACAGTTGGTTGGTGCCCAATGTGTGGCTTGATTTTAAGCCCAGATTATACATTTTCATTAATTGAGAGTGTTCAAAATTCCATCTCTGATGGGAGGAATCCCTCAAATAGCTACGGGCGACAGTTCTGCTGAATTTCCTGATGGATTGAAAACTGAACAGACCCCTTCTGCAATGAATCTACAGGACCTTTTGCCCAACTTGCAACTGTACATGTGGTGTGCAGCCAAGAGCGTTCTGCTCTGTGTAACTGCTCTTGTGATTGTTTCATGGTTTATTGACAGAGCTGTAGCAATAATCAACCCTATAATCACCAGCCTAGTGATGCTAGGGGTTATGATACTGATCTTTACAGGGGCACTGTATGTGTACAGTTATGGTACAAATCTAAAGTAAATGGAACGGTCATGTTGGTAATAGCAGTAGCAGGTTCAATTTTACCTCTCCATTTTCTTTCAAGCTGAATCTCCCCACTCTTGATCTGAATAGCATTGTTGCAGTGGGGATGCTTCTGCTGAATGTTTATAGTGTAGCGTGGATACGCAGGGCAAGGTGTTGCTCCACTCACTGCCACTCCCCCACAGGCAATGCTGCTGCCACTGTTGCTGCTACTGCCTGTGATGCTGCCACCACCACCGCTGCTTGAAACTGAGGAAGCAGAGGATTCTAAATCAGTTGATGGAGCAGGAACCTCTCAAACAGATAACAAATCAGACCACTCTCAAGCAGATAGGACAGCAGGCCCTCCTCAATCAGATGACAACGATGACCTTGTCCAGCCTTTCTCTATGAAAGAACTGCACCTCATGAGAAAGGACTTCACCTGCACTGATGGTGAGGCAATCCTTCCTTGGCTGCTCTGATGCTTTGATAGTGAAGCTGAAACTAACGTGGATGAGAGAGATGCCAAGCAGTTGGGATCCCTGGCCAGAGATGCTGGTATTGACAGAGCACTTAGTAGTAAGATGGGAACTACCACCCTGTGGGACCAACTTCTTTCAGCTGTGAGACAGAGATACCCCCACAAGGGTGACATCAAATGGAACCGAAGCAGAACACCCACTCTTGAGAAAGCCATCGCATACTTGAGAGGAATAGCTGTGTGAGAGGTGATCTATAATAAAGGTGGACTTAAAAATCCTAATGATGTTCTGTGCGACACACAAATGTTCCAGAGGTTTTCTCAGGCTGTACCAGCAGCACATGCCCATATATTCTCCTTCATGGGATGTTTTGATGATGATGCAGTACCAGCTGTACATGAGGTGGCTTTCAAAGCACGACAGTATGATGACATAATCTCTGATTCCCATCAGTTCCACACCTCAGCCATTGAAAAAATGACTGACAGAATAATAAGAAGGGTGGAGCTCCAGAATGCCTGCAGTACATTGATGACATCATTGTGTGGGATGACACACCAGAATAAGTTTTCTAGAAAGGTAAAAAGATCATTCAAATTCTTCTGGATGCTGGTTTTGCTGTAAAAAGAAGAAAAGTCAAGGGACCTTCACAAAAAATGCAGTTCTTGGGAATAAAGTGGCAAGATGGATGTTGCAAGATCCCAGTTGCTGTGATTAACAAAATAACAGCTATGGCCCCACCATCTACTAAAAAAGACAAACCTTTTTAGGGACTGTTGGTTTCTGGAGAATGCATATTCCATGTTACAGTGAAATTGTGAAACCTCTCTATGAGGTGACCCAGAAGAAGAATGACTTTAAATGGGGCCCTGACCAACAGAAGGCTTTTGAGCAGATCAAAAAGGGGATTGTGCAGGTAATGGCCCTTGGACCAGTTCGAACAGGGCCAGACATCAAGAACGTGCTCTACACTGCAGCCGGACACAATGGTCCCAACTGGAGCCTCTGGCAGAAAGCACCAGGGGAGACTCGAGGTCGACCCTTGGGATTCTGGAGACGGAGCTACAGAGGCTCCGAGGCCAACTACACAACAACTGAGAAGGAGGTACTTGCAGTGTATGAAGGAGTTAGAGCCACTTTGGAAGTGATCAGCACTGAAGCGCAGCTCCTCCTGGCACCCAGATTACCAGTGCTGAGATTCATGTTCCAGAGTAACCTTTCTCTTGTCCATCATACCACCAATGTGACTTGGAGTAAATCAGCTGCTTTAATCACCCAGCGAGCTCGACTAGGGAAACCTACTTGTCCAGGTATTGTAGAAGCAAGTACAAACTGGCCAGAAGGCACCCACTTGGGAATGCCACCACAAGAAGTGGTGAGACGAGCTCAAGAAGCTCCACTATATGATCATACACCAGAGACTGAGAAACAATTTGCTCTTTTCACCCTTGGCTCCTGTCATCTTGTAGGGAACCACCGGAAGTGGAAAGCTGCCGTGTGGAGTCCTACATGACTGGTTGCAGAAGCAGCTGAAGGAGAAGGTGAATCAAGTCAGTTTGCAGAGATAAAAGCCATCCAGCTGGCTTTGGGCATTGCTGAGTGAGAGAGGTGGCCGAGACTCTATCTCTACACTGACTCGTGGATGGCAGCAAATGCCTTGTGGGGTTGGCTAAAGCAGTGGCAGCAGAACAACTGGCGGTTAAAAGGTAAACCTGTTTGGGTGGCTGAGCTGTGGAAAGACATTGCAGCTCGGATAGAGAAACTGGTGGTAAAACTGGTGGCATCATGTAGATGCACATGTGCCTCTGAGTCGAGCCACTGAGGAACATTGACACAACCAATGAGCGGATGAAGCTGCTCAAGTGTTCCAAATAGGCTTTGGAATAGACATTTGCAATAGACATTGCAGCCACCATTGTCCCACAGGTTACTTAACAGACTGTCATTTCTTTTGTTCTTGTCCTTATCATAGCAGTGACCAGGAGTGAATCCAGGGTGTCTATTAACATTTTGTGGCTGAAGTTGTATTTTGAATCTACTAAGTGGGAATTCCTTAAGCAATTTATAGTCTACAGCAGCACAGAATATAGAAGTTGTTGAAGAACTGTACAGGTGAAAGAGATGTGTATGTTCAGCAAGTTATAAACTAGACATCCAAATGCAGTCCTACTCAGCTGATCAGGTATCACTTGTTTTTAGCCTGACTTTTTCAGGTGGTCATTGAAGCCTGAGAATACTCCTTGCACCAGGGATTTGGTTTTCCAATGTTATTTTGGTAATTTGCCTTAAATGCTTGAATTGTTGCAGCAGAAGCTAGTGAGGAGTTTAATTATCCTGCCTTCAAATATTATGTCTATTTACTATTTCTGTATTCAGTTAATCTGAAGAAATCTAACACAGACTTTTTCTGATTTGGCTCTTTCAGGTGAACATTTTCTCTGAGGAAAATTGTAATTTTCATTCTTTGTAGTGTATTCTCTGTGGTATTGGTGTTGCTTTTTTTACTGTCAAGCTTTCAGTAGATCCTGAGAGTTAAGTTAGATTTTACTTTTGCATGTATCAGTAGTATTCTGAATTGAATGACTGTAGTGGACCAGTTGTTAATCATTGGTTAACCAAAGGAAAGTTGTTCTACCCTGCATTTTATTATGCTCCATTTTTTTCTGAGGAAAGATTAATTGTTTAATTAAGTAGAAATCTTTAATTTTTGAGAGCTTGTATTTCAGAAATCATTCTTGATGACTCATGATTGATAGGATCTTCTAGATTTGGGAAGTCAGGAAAATACTCTAGACTCATACTTCCATTTTTTTTTAAAGTATTGCAAATTCTTGCTGAAACTACTTGCTGTTACTAGCTCTGATTCTTTATTAAGACACTTGAAAGATCATTTGCTAACTCTTGATGCAAATATCAAACAAAATTAACTCACCTTGTTTAAGGGCTCTAATATGTTTGTTGTATTTGCTGAAATCACTTCTGCCAGCAGCTGGATGATGTGCCTGTTTTCTGGCTTAACCTCCAGCATCCACTAGTCTGCCATAGCTTCTATTGCATTTGGTTAAAAGAAGTAACTCTTTGTAATGTTGCTCAACTTTCCTAAGAAATCTTTCTAGCCTAATTATTTTGAATAGCTTCAGCTCCCCTAAAACTCCGTTGTCATTGCCCGAGGTACTAAAACTAAAGCTGTCATCATTATTTGTAGAGAAAATGGAAGTATTACTGGAACAACTTAAAACTACTTTACTAGAGATATATGTAATTAGAGGTATATATAGTTTTAACAGCTGCTAATAAGTGGCCTGGAAGAAATTACATGTTTTAGAGATTTATGTATATAATATTTGATCCAAAAAACCAGTATCAGTAGGGTTAAGTATTGTTTGAATAGAAAGAGTTCCAGCATATTTCTGCATTAGCACACATACATTGATCAAAAGGTGAATATTTACTTTATCTAGAAACTTGCAAATACTACATAGTTGTGGCCTTTAGAGGGTGGAGTTTCTTGTTAATAACTGAACCAGGATAAACATCACAAATTAAAACAAATTAAACTTTGCAGCAATCAAATGAAAAAGAGAGATGTAAAGCCTTTAACAAGCATATCTTCAACCATGGCAACTAGCAAAACATTATATATTTAAGATAAAGCATGAGTGAATCTGTCTCCCTTCTGTTGCAATTCCTGTATTGGGTAATTTTGTTGTGAAGAAGTCGTATTAAAGGAGAAAGTAAAGCCCTGCATAACCTGGATGAAAAAAGAATATGATTCTATAAAGTTTTGGGAGGAAAAAGACTATATGGGAAGTAGTTAAAGAACCAAGGTGATGATCTCTACTTAACATGAATCAGATAAAAAATATGCTCACTGCAGAGGCCAAGAATGAGCATGTGTTGTTAGAACATTTGAATGTTGAACTTCAATGGTGATGACAGTGGAATGGTGAGACAGTGGAACAGGTTGCCCAGGGGAGTTGTGGATGCCTCCTCTCTGGAAGTATTCAAGGCGAGGTTGGATGAGACTTCAGCCTGGTCTAGTGGGAGGTGTCACTGCCCATGCAGGAGAGTTGAAACTAGATGATCTTGAAGGTCCCTCCCAACCTAGACCACTCTATGATTCGAAAGAACTTTTCTTAGTCGTTCTTAATGTTAGCAGGTGTGGATCATCAGGTCCCTCACATGGACAAGCATGAGCAAGCAAGACCTCCAAAACAAGGGCAAGGGAGCCATTTTATATGGGTTGGGTTTTTTTAGCTGTATAATGCCAAAGAGATGATTTCAGAATTATTTGCTCAGTGCTGTTTGACAGTTTGAGTAAAATACCTACGTTCATCTGGGATGTACCTTTTTTTTCTTTTTTTGGTAAGACTGGCTTTCCAACTAATTATCCCTTCCTTTGAAGGTAGAAATTCCACAATTAAATCCTTGTATATCAGCATTTTGTGAAACTCTTCTCTAAATACAGTTGTATATGTGACTGTAGTCTCAGAATATCAATACAATTATTTCCTGAGAAGCTATTTTTCTAGCAGCCAAAAACATAGTATCAATTTCTTAGTAGATAAAACATGTTTAACCTAATTTTTATTTAGTAGGGTAAGATGTGGGCTCTAGCGCTGGTTTAAAAAAAAAAAAAAAAAAAAAAAGTCTAGTGCCCTCATCATGTTGAGAAAAGGAGAAAATAAATGTTGAAACTAAACAGACTGATTTGTCATGAAGCTACCAAGCTGTAATATATTACTGGTCTGAATATTACTGACACATTGCAGAGAGGATTTTTGTCATTCATTATTATATAAGGTAGTGGGAAACAGTGATGAAGAAAAACTAGGAGGAATTTTGGTAATCAGATCTAAGAAGGGAAAGGAAATGAAAACAAGACAAAAAGAGGTGTTCACACAGGCTGTGCAATAGGAAAGTGTTTCTAATTTTTCCCGACTTCCCCAAAGCCTCAGGTGATTGTGACCCAAACAAATAGCCAAAGTAACCCTGAGCATTTTTTGCACATTCTCATAAGGCTGATTTGCCAGAGAAGCAACTTGCAAGTGCTTCAGGATGGTCTACATAAATGACAAATGATGTCAGAAGAAGCTGAACTTTGTGGCTTTTAAAATCAGTCACATTTCTGTCTGTCCAGGGAAAAACAGTAGGACAATACCACACTAGCACATGCCCTACAGAAGGGCAGAAGAAGGGCAAAGCAGCAGTCTTATTACTGATGAGGTTCATAGGTTAAGGAGATATTCCCATTTTCAGTGCATAGAAATTTTATGAAGACTTGGCTTCATCTGTAAATCTGATCTTATTTTCATGCACTCTAACTGCATTTTAACCAGCTTTTTTTCCTTTCCTTTTTTTCTCTCTTTGCATGCTTTGTTTCTTTTGTTGGAACATTAGGAGCAAAAGCGTATAGATGGCACCACCCGTGAGGTGAAAAAGGTTAGAAAAGCCAGGAACAGACGCCAGGAGTGGAATATGATGGCATATGACAAGGAGCTTAGACCTGACAACAGGTTGTCTCAAAGTGTGTACCATGGAGCATCTTCCGAGGGATCACTGTCCCCAGATACTAGGTCTGTTTACAGTAAAGCTGTTTGTTATACCACAGTTGTATGTTCAGAAATACTGAGTAGAATTAGGTGTTTTTACAGGCTGGGAGTAGTTAGGATGGATGAAACATATAATGCATGTTTTAAAGTTCTTCTCAAAATTATTTTAAAGCACAAATAGCATAATACATTTTGTAATTAATGAATGTTTTTATTCCTCAGCTTCAGATGAGCATTCTGTTATAGTGATGCACTGTAGTGAAATACATGTTTGCTGTATACTTTATATTTCATCTTAAGTAGTCGTAGCTGTGAACACATTTAAGTGTTTCTACTAGATAACGTCAGTACCTCTTCCTTCGTGTCTAGTTTATTAGGTCTTATGCTCCCTATAGCTTAATAAATATGTTTTGTGATCAACTCAGACATACTTTTGTTTCTAGCAGAATGCTTTAATGAGGGAAGAGTTCAGCTTTATCAGTATTAGTCTAAAAAGCAAGCTACAAAACCGGATACAACATTATTGCTTGAAATAGCAAACATCTCTGCTTAGAGACACACAGAGGAATTCATCTTCCTTGTCTGAGATTCCCTTTGAGCTCCGTGGGAGTTACCTTCTTCTAGTGGGCATGGAAGGCTGAATATATTCACTAAGCTGGTCTCACTAGAGGATTTTCCCTCCTACATTATTTCTTTGTCATGGTTAATTGATAGCAGTAATGTTAGGAATAAATAGAATCTAATGGAAGAAGTGTGTGACACTTTAGTGTTTAAATTGTTGAATGCCTGTGCTGAGGAAGTAGCCACCACTACAAGAAGTTTGGACTGATACCTTTAGTCAACTGTCTAGTTGGAGATTAATTGAATATGTATATATCTATATGAACAATCTACTGTGAACTTTGTGAAGAGTAATCATCTTGTAATTGAAACAAATGCAAAGAAAATTGCTACTGCTGTTTCAGTAATACATTCAGACCCCTTCCCTCTGGTTAAAATCCTTTAATCACCAATTTATTTATTTTTTCAGCAGTTTCTAATGCAAAACCTCTTCTGTTTGTTAGTCTGTCATGTTTCATTGAGACTGCTTTCTGTAAGTTGATCTGCCAAAATGACATTGGTGTACAGCTGTCAAGTGCAAGATAGGAGATTTTTTCATCATGAGTTCTGCGTTTCACGTATTTGCAGCCTTTTTCTAGACTTAACGCTTTGCTTCCAGGAATTCCAAGCTTAAATACTCATATTGAAGTGATGTGTTTTTCTCTCCCAGTAATGTCAACATGTATTTGAATGCTTGCAGATATCTGTTAATATTTGCAGTCTGCAGTATTTTTTAAGCAGAAAATGTTGGATGCCATCACTATTGGGTGTAGATGTTGTGGTATGACAGTTAACTTGTGGTTATATAAGCTTTTCAAATTTTAAAGTCTCTGGAGAGCTTAAAATTTCAGAGCATCAGGCATCAGTCATTGAATCCTGAAATCTATGCTTTGCATGCATGAACGGTTAATTTTGTGAGGGGTAGTGACATGGAGAGAAGGCTTTCTGTTTTTTATCTCAGGGTAGTGTTAGCTGTAGGAACTAGGCAAAAGAAAACCCCATGCATGTAGGAATAAGGACTGGTTTCAGAGACATTTTTGTGCTAATAGCTACAGCGTGAGCAGTGTTTCATAAATAAGGTCCCAAGAAAGTGTATTTGGCTACAGTGTAATTCATCCATTTATTTATTTATTTATTTTTATTTTAAAGTTAAAGCACCAATGTTTCTTTTTGTTTGCTAATTTTAAGACTCGCACATTAAACATTGACATCCAGGTGTCCAGACCGTGGCAATTTACAATGTATATGTTATACTTATTGCACTTTAGAGAGAGAAACACAAGCTGAATCCAAACAGAAACCAGCAAATTAATGTGAGAAAAGTAAGAACGAGAAGAGAAGAGTGGGAGAGAAGGAAAATGGGCATTGAGTTCATGAGTGACGCAAAGAAAATGGAACAGGCAGGAAGCATGAAAGAGGACAAAATGCCCAAAGGGTTTGTGATTTTGTTTTACTCAAAGCCCTGGCTTTTTGTTGCTTACCTTGCTTCCAGTCTTACAGATAAGTGTGTCAGTTTACTGTGTTCACTAAAAACCAGGCTGCACGATTGTTCATTACTAAAACAACTATTTACAGTAATGGGATGAAAAAATCCTTTTGCTCCCTCTCTTGGGCTTATTTGACAGAGCATCCTAGACTTTGTATCTTTATGAACTCTCTGCTCAACTAATATTTACATTTCCCAGTTCCTCTAAGTCTTTCCAGCAAAATTAATTGTGCAAACAAAATAAAAAGCATATTCTAACTTTTAAAATTGTTTTCTCTGCTTTGGTAAAATACATTCTTCTGCATAATTGTGACTGCTTGTAGTATTGCTTTCCTTTTTCTGCTGCTGTTAATTTAAGGCAGACCTGATAAGTATTACAGTTTCAAACAATGGACTGTCAGAATCATTGAAAAAACAAGCATGTGCCTCCTAAAAGAACTCTCAAATCTGGAGACAGCTTTTTAAAAAAGTCTGTATTATAGGAGGACATTCTGCATGCAGCTTCTATGCTGGAATATTGAAAACATTCAGTTTTAGTCCTTGCATACTGACTTGTCAAACTAATTTATTTTCAAGTTGTGTTAAGCTGAGCCACGACTTTTTGTTGCATTTATTCTTTTGCTTTCTGTGAACCACAAGGGAATGGTGCTTGATAATCAGGGAGTTCTGTTGCAAGAAAAAGAATTCTGATTGCATTCTTCCTAGCTTTTCTTGTGAGCTATTTACATATACCCTGTTTCACTCACACACTTTGTTCTTCTGCATCCATTTACTTTAATTTTAGGTCCCATGCATCTGATGTTACAGATTATTCTTACCCTGCTACTCCGAATCATTCCCTCCATCAGCAGATAGCAATGTCTTCCTATGGAGCAGGAGATGGTCCACAGTACATGGCAGCATCCCAAAGCCATGAGCATGAATACAGGCCACCTTCCACCACTGTACGACATGCTACTTTAAACAGACCTCAGCAGCCACCTCCACCTCCACCCCAGCCTTCAGATGGCCAGCATAGCTCAGTGCCTGTGGTACCAGCAGAATATGGGTAAAACTCCTGATTTTTTTCCAGTGGATTTTTGACAAAACTAGAGGGATGTGTGTTTTTCATACCCATTGTAACATAGAGTACATACACACAGAAAGACCCCAAATACATTACTTTGCTTCCTGGGGAGAACAGAAAAAAAAAAAAAAGAAAAAAAAAAAGGTATAATTTCTATGTTGGAACTGAATTTCAGTGAAGAAATGGTGAAAGCAGAAATACTGAACTGGGTATTGAATATGTTGAAATCAATATGCTTGTAAAATATTAAGGTTTCTTAATAGAATATTAAAAAGGGGATAATTTTCCTTTAAAGCGGAAAATATTTACTGCAAACTTGAATAATATTTTACACTTCAGGAAAGGTGCAGAAAAAGTATCACTAAATGTGATGCATTTGGCAGTCTGTGTTGTATCCCAGAAATGACTTTTTAAAGAAGCTGACAGAACTGGAAGGGATCTCCTTAGACTCAGAATCAAGTTCCCAGCTGCCACAGACAACTCCATAATTCAATATATGAAGTTATCAAATTTCCGTGTAGATATTTTGCTTGAATACACTCTGAAGGAAGGCTTGCTCCAGGATACTGGCTCTCCAATAGCAAGAAAACATCTGTTTCCTAATCAGTCTGAACCTGTTTGTTCTTTTGCTTAAACAGCTTAAACTTCCAAGTTGTAATCACAGGAAAGTTGTAATCATTCTTGCCTGTGCCATTTCAAACTGAGCAAGCCAAGGGTTTTCAGCCTCACTCCATGCATCCTGTGGTAGTATTTACCTGACTGATGACTGTCATGCTGCAGATGACTGAGTTATGCTATGGTTGACTGCTTCAACCTGCATTTTCTGTTATTTCCAGTTTATAACACAGATACTTGTGCCTTATCCCCAGGTACATGACCATTGTCACTGTATCACAGTTGTCATACGTTGACATGTATCACTGGATGTCATCAGTAACTTGCCTTCAACTCTTGTCTTCTAGATCTAGTTCTTAATATAATTAATATATTAATAACATAATTAATATACTGATTCCCACTCTTTCTGCTTAAGAGTTCTTTTAACTACATTTTAATAAAGAAATTAACTCTTCCCTGTTCCTCCTCTTTAAAGTATTAATCAAGTCATAGAATCACAGAATCACAAAATTACCTTGGTTGGAAAAGACCTTAAAGATCACCGAGTCCAACCATCAACCTAACACTGACAAGTCCTTAACTAAACCATATACCTGAGTCTGCAGTACTCCTAAGTACCTCCAGGGATGGTGATTCCACCACTGCCCTAGGTAGCCTATTCCAATGCCTGATAACCCTTTCTGTGAAGAAATCCTTCCAAACATCCAATCTAAACCTCCCCTGTCACAACTTGAGGCCATTACCTCTTGTCCTATCACTTGTAACTTGTATCAATTTAATTAAATAGTATTTAGATTGATAAACTTCACTAAAACAGCACATGAGATGCATGATATACCTTCAGGTAAATCTTTCCATTCATAGTTTCTTCTGTCCTCCATGCCTATCTCTTTTTATTATCTCTTAATATTTGTTCTAACATTTGGTCTTCTGTGGAAGTGGTGTCTGTGGTCCCTTCTTCATCGTAGGCATTGTACTAAATATTTTCACAAAGTAGATCTTTAGTAACAAATACAGCTTTATACTTAACTAGGCAGGATTAATGCAATAAAATAAAATCTCACTTTGTGGAGTGATGAAAGGACACAGACTTTAATTTAATCTGCCTTAAATCTCAATGTATTATGAATATTTGACAATTCTCACTTGGCGATTTAACTGACCCATTTAAATTATCTTTGACTTTTAGCTGAGGTTGAATCAGAGCAGTTTAAGGGGTAATGCTTCTGTAAGTCCTAACTTTCAATGCATTAAATGTTTTTGTTCTGTTTTATATAGGATGCTTCCAGCTCAGATGGTGGATTATTACAATCCTACAGGTCCTCCCCCTCCTCCTCCTCCTCCTATGATTCCTTCAGCACAAACTGCATTTGTTAGTCCCCTTCAGCTTCCTGTGCCACCTTCCCATTCTGGACTGGTGACTGGCTCTGCATATGCAGCTACTCATCCTCCTCCTTCTAGTGGGCTTGTTGTTACTGCTCCTCCTCCCCCTGGCCCACCTCCTCCCCCTCCAGGCCCTCCTGCTGCAGGTTCCTCCCTCTCTTCCTCCCCAGTGCATGCTCCTCCAGCTGCTGAGGCAAAACATCATGAACCTGCACAGCCACCAGTAAGTGACGCACGAAGTGATCTCCTGGCTGCGATTCGAATGGGTAAGCGGACGCTGGGTTTGAGCTTTCTTTCCTCTCCCCCCTCAATGAAATCACTGTTTCAGGTGATCTGAGTTCATGGCTTCTATTCCCAGCTGGGCAGAATGTCATGAAGAGACACTAGTTAACCATAGGTACCACACACCTGTTCCAACATTTGTCTGCCTTGACTTTGGATCTGTTTCTGATGCCTAAAGACATACAGCTTTGTAAAACATGTTCAGTTTTTGTGTGGTCATAATGAAATTAAAGCAGGGCCTGTGTGTTCATTATGTAAAGCACCCAGTGAATGTACTTGGATTTTTTGCTTCTGCTCAGAAGAACTGTTCCCCAACACCAGGCTTCAGCCCACTGATTTTTGCCAGTGACTAATGGCTCTGCCCAACTTTGCTTACACTATGGAACTGTAATTTCAAACACAACTGTGAAAGCTTTCGTCTTCAGATTAAAAGGGCCTGTACAGTCATGCATATTTAATTTTAACCAATTTCTGGCAATTTTAGAAGTCTAGAAGCATTCAGTCACTGAGAATGGACTCCAGACTGCCCTTTTTTTGTGCCTTCCTTGCCCAGGGAGGCTCTCTAACTCAAGGGTTTGTTGTTTTTTTTTCTTCCTCCTCTTTCTGAATATATTGTTAGAATAAAAAAAAAACCACACCAATAACAATATGAAATTTAAAATCTCCTGTGCAGAAGCTTTGTTTGAGAATACTTGTCTCTACAGGAATACAGCTGAAAAAGGTGCAGGAACAACGTGAGCAAGAAGCAAAGCGAGAACCTGTTGGAAATGACGTGGCCACCATCCTTTCAAGGCGCATTGCTGTGGAGTACAGTGATTCTGATGATGATTCCGAGTTTGATGAGAATGATTGGTCAGATTGAACCTGGTCCAAGCCCAGTGGCAAGTTCATTAAATACCTGGCTTCAGTGATTGCTTTCTTAGCAAGATGTAAAGCAGGACGTTGACATGTATTAAGGCTAGTGATTGAAGTACTAACATTGACTTGGTATTATTCTGGATGCTGTAGCTTAGCAACTCTGGTGATGATGATGTGATTATGCTTATGCAGATCAGAAACTCGTCTTACTTTCAGTATTTACCACATAATACTTAAGTGCCAGTAAATGTAGCAAATCATGTGCTGCGTGCAAAATATGCTGCAGTTGTTGCACTCTTACAGAACCAGCATTTTATTTTTCTTTCCTGATCTCGAAGGGATAAAGTATATTTTTTTGACTTGACATCTTATTCTGTTAATTATGTAAACAACTTAGGTACTTGTGAATTGGTCTGGTTGTTAGTCTTTGTTAACTATATGACTGAGCTCCATAAGTATGACTTAGCTTTTTTATTGGTTACTAATTATGCCCACCGTAGTCTATTTTTAATCACTTCTAGACTTAGTTGTTGGGTTTTTTTCATAGAGAATTGAATTTATATCATCTTTCTTTTTATCTTAAAAAGGTAGCAGGTATTGAAATGTATGCTTTGGAGAATGAACCCACATGATCCAAAATTAACTAGATAAGTCTGTGACGCTGCAAGCTCTAGGTTCCTGGCTGCTTGTTGGGTGGAGTGCTGGGGTGGCCTCAGGCAGGTAGTGGCTCATGCCCATCTTACAAATGGAAGTTCTAAAATGCCTGTCGAGTTTTATGATGCAGATCAACTAGACACAAAGACTTCAGGGTAGACCTGATTGAAGCCATATGGTTATTGAAGTGTTAAAATGTTATTCTGGTATTACTGAAGAGTGGAACTTTTGTCAGTCCAGCTCTAGCAATTGGATGCATTTCACAAGTATTAATCTTTGGTCTTTCTGCCTGTAGGTATAAATGTTTGTAAATAAGTTTTGTTGTTGATTTGTACATGTGTAGCCATGACAGTTTTCCATTTCCTGTAGCACATTTACTCAAAACTACTTTTACTTTGAATGTACTTCTTTCCCAGTACATCCCATTGATATAACATTGGCAGTTAAAACAGTTTTAATGGCTGTTTAGTTACTATGCCATGTATATACACTTGTTTTCACCCTCCCTAGGAACAGTGCTGCCATACAGTCTGCTTTGGCTATCTCTGTTTTCTTTAAAAAGAATTCCTTTCTTTTTTGTAGTACCATATTAAAATGGTATTTTTGGGTTTGTTTTTCCTTTGTTCTGGACTAAGAGTCAGGCTGCTGCTTTGCCTAGTGAGGTTTTAAAAACTGTGTTCATAGCAGTGGAAGAGTTCTCTCCTTACCAGGTTACAGGTTTGTTTTCATCTTTATAAATGAAGTCTGTAATTCCAGGTCTAATATTTGATAAAGCTCCTTTGTTTTGTGAGGCCCCTTCCCTTCTTGCAAAAAAAGTATGTAAAATAAAAACAGAAATGGATGATAATTACCTAACTTGTGTTTTCACAATTAACAGTTTTAGTCCTGAGAATGTAACAGTCTAACATGCTGTTTGCATGCAAACTATTGGCTACTTCATTGCTGTTTACTCTGCGTGTGATTTTTTTCCAATCTGTGGTGGCTGTCTTTATGTTAGGGTGGTAACATGCTGCCTCAATGTTGGTGCTAAAATTTATCCTATAAAGTACGACCAGTCTCTGCATAATGGGGAACAACTACAGCTCTGGTCAATCAGTAGCAGTGAAGGGACTCATTTCTGCTTCACTTGGAGCTGGTTTTGTCTTTGCCTTAAAATACAGAGCCGAGGTCTGCTTTATGTTGTGTCCTGGAGTCTGAGGTCTGTGTGCCCACCACAGAGGACAGAATTTAGACCATGGCCTGATGGTGTTTTTCACCAGTGCATGAGAGATGGTTTGTTCTCATCATCACTGTGTGGTTGCACAGTGGCTTGTGGTGTGATCCTGTGGGTGGGTGGGCTGGAAGTGCAACTGGGACCGCAGCGTTACATTCCTCTGCAGACAGGAAGGGTACTCTCAGTGTTCCTTTAATACATGCTGAAATTAAATGTCTCAGCAGAAAATCCTTTCCAATCTACTGAAATTTGATATGACAGAAGATATATTTTATGAGCACAGAAGTTGGGTGTGTTGGACATTTTGTAATTTGTGTTAATTTTAAATAATAAACATTAAACAAGCAATCACTTGTGACCAGTTAAAGGTAGCGTAGATTTTTTAGTCACAGTAGCCAACCTGTTTTTCTGAACCTGCAATGTTGTCATTTTCCTTTTGGTATTTTATTAATAAAATGTGAATTGAATTTAGTTATGTAAACTAACATTATTCTAGGCTGTTTTTATCAGTTTTATCATACTTTGGGTTGTGAATAAGAAACAAATATGAATAAAATCTCACTTTTGAGCCTGTCTTTCTTTCCTTAGATTAGTAAGATTTTGCTATTAATCTTAATCCCTTATTGATAATAAATGGAAATGAAAATGTAAGGCTTCTGAATGCTATCTGTGATCCCAGGAACTACAATTTTACTGGGATAGAGGTTGAACTCTAGAAAACTAGGCTTCTTTAAGGTACTGCTGCTTCTCCTACTGGGCATGCTTATTTGTTCTTTTGCAGCCTTGATTCAAGCTCCATGTTCTTACCTGGTGTAAACAAGCCTTAAGTCCCTTACAGGTAGTTTTGTTTTTTTTTCAGTGAAATGCATTAAACATCTTTGCTCCCAGAAGGAACAGAATGTATGACCCCCTTTCCCACTTTTTTTAATAAGAGCCTTTGTAGGTTAATGACACCAAGCACAATGTTGTAAAATGGAAACCCGTGTCTGCCTACTACAAACATACCTGTTTAATTTACAGCTAGGTTACCATATTGCACAATTGGTTTATCTAGTTCTTTCCAGTATGACGTAATAAACCAATTGTGTAGTATAGTGGCTGAATTGTAAACTAAATAGATGCATTTATGTATCTTAGGCTTGGTTATTCCCTGGGAAAGTGAATTCCTCTTTATTCCATTCAGCTAAAAATTCCAGTTCCTCTGGTGCTCAGTTCTTATTTCACTGAAATTTTCCATCTTTGATTTGAACTTCGTTCAGGTAATTTAGAGCAAAGGCACCAGTTCTGCACAGAAACTGAGTATCTGAGCTTGCAATTTCGTTCAAAGGCTGTTTTAGTAAAGCATTTATAACTGCTCATTTATCAGTTGGGACTGGAGTTAGGACTGATGATCACTTGATGTGCTACCTCTGCAGCTTTTATGGTTGTCTTTTGAATGTTAATATTTCCACGTGACTAAACTGACATCAGTTGGATTTTTAAATATGTCAGGAGATGAACTGCATAAAGGTGAAAAAAAAATCTTACTTGTAAGAGAGGTGCATGCTGTTCAGAACAAGCTCAAAATTGAGCTTGTTTGTGGTATCCAAGTGGAGTTGGAAGGAAGGGAAATGACTCTTTGGGAACCTAGTTCTACTTGAAACAGCACACCTAAGGATACTTAAAAAATGTAACTTCTGAAAATGTTTAAAAACTCACTATAACATCAAATGAGTATAAACTCAATGAGAAAGAAAAATCACTAGAATCTCATTACTGGAAGCTGAAGTTGCATGAATTCAGTCTTGAGCTGAGGTACTATTTCCTAGCAGCAGAGTAAAATGTGTTAGCTCAACTTACCCACAGATAGCTTTGACAGTGGGTTGTTTTTTAAATTGTTTTAAGATGACATTGCACTTTTTCCTCCTTAAAAAACCAGCAAACAAATCCAACCTGCCGTAGGCTGATTTGGGGAAAGTTTCTTGCCCTGTGGAGGGAGGCAGCCACCCTGAGCTGTTATTTCTGAGTTGGAGTTGTTCCTGCTGTCAGCACATACATACACACACATGTGCACACATGGAAGTCCCAGGATTTTCAGCCTCTTCAGGCAGCTCAGTATTTATGTACTTAAGCATTGTCAGTGTGATTGGTGTTATACAGGGAGTGAAACAAACTACTGCTAGAATCTGTCAGGCCCTGGCCTGTGCCATAATAGTTGGGAGTGACTTGAGCTTGGTACTGAACATCCTTCCCAATTTCCTTGGACTTTAAGGAAGTGTGGGAACCCTGGAAAGACAGTAGGTTTCCAATCAACCATTGTTTTTCATTAGAGGTGAATAGAAAGAATGGGAACACTGGAGTGGGAACACTTAAGTCCTTTAAGTACAAAATAGGGAGAAGGAATTTCGTAGTTTGATTTTTCTAGTCATAGGTGGCAACAGAGCGGCTTTCCATGTACTGTCAAGTGTCTTGTATGTTTCTGTGGAGAAATGTGTTCTCATCTAGGTGACGTAGGTGTGTAATTCTACTTGTAGAAAGCAGTCTCAGATGGTTGTTTTGGACTGGCCTTTTTTTTAGCTGCATAAGAAAACAGGTAGCCCTGAAGAGATTCTTAGCTAAATATAGTAGTCTCTTTGGAGATTAATTCTTACTGCTGCAGATAAATAGAGAAGTTCTTATCTGATTAGCAGGGAGTACTTGTGCGCTTTTCCCTTGGTGGGAGGTCACATGCAGTGTGCTTTGGGGATTAGAGCTGAGGGCAACAGATTCTGAGATGTCTCAACAGCTTATCTTAGCTGTGTTGCCTTTCCGAGTCACTCAGCATTTCCAGGGGCTCACATGCTGTCCCACCACGTGCAAACCAGCTGCATGTTCAGCAGCTGCTCACGTTGCCAGTACAATGTGTAGGGTAAAGGAAAGAAGGGAGGGCTGGGAATCCGATGGAGTTACCCTCATACCAGTTAATATTGGGCAGTCTGACCTATCTGTCTTTGAGACAAACCCTGAACAGGAATCCTACCAACTGCACTGAAGGAGATGGAGACTGTCAAGATGTCCTTTGCTTTATAAAATGATTTAAGAGCCATCGTCACTATTTACATTGACATAGTCTGTATAAGAAACTGAATTTAGGCCTACCACATGCTTTAAGTAAAGGATTCTCCATCCCTCTCCTGTGGTGTCCCTCCTGACCTATATTCCTCACTATGTTTCTAGAATTTATATGAATTATTTATTTGGCATGATAGACTTACTTTGTACTTTGCCAAAAGTGATAATAAATCCTCACTTTAGGGATTTTCAAACCTTGTTAAAATATATCAAGTTGTGAGGAGGCTGCTAACAACTAGAATTATTTGAGATAAGAGACATGGGAGTTGTCTAGGTGTAATGTTGTTTCTTGCTTACTGTGTTACCAGAGAAAAAGCATTTAAGTACAGGATGCCTCACTTAAATGGAAAGAGGAACACCACAGATCTGTGGCATTCTTGTCTCTTCAATGGGAGATGATAG